GATCACTAGGAGTGCCATCTGCATTAGTGAGACACTGTTCCAAATAACACAAATGGAAAAAAAGTATGACAGAACTTGTAAAAGAAAAAAAGTACAAATCCTCAGTAGTTATTGGTAAAAAGTGATAAGTAGCATTGACTGGGGATGTAATGTCTTGGTAGAATGCTTGCCTATCATCTAAGAGGCCCTGGAATTGCATGATGCTGAAAAGCTAATTTTTTAAATGCTAGATTTAGAAAAGCCTAAAAAGTAAAGACAAATACATAATGAAGAAATCAACAATATTTTACTAGCTTGGAGAGATGAAATTAAAATTCTGGTTATTTTCTCACACATTTTAGAATATCATGTCTGTTGTTTGTATCTCACAAAATGTTAAGCATTCTTTCAATGAATGTGGAATTTGTAATAATTGTAGTTTGTCACATACAGATATCCTTAAGTTATTTAACCAATGTTCTATTCATTTCTAATTCTTATTATAAATAATATAATGAACACAAAGATTTTTGTTTCTGGATTCTCTCAATTTTTATTACTTGATTAGTAAGTAATCTATCATATGAACTTAAAAATTATGTTTGTGTGATTTGCTAGAACACACCAAAATTACCTAATGACATCTCTCCCATTACTTATTTTAAAAAATTCTATTTAAAGGTCAACGCATTTGCAGTTCTCCAAGTTAGCTTTATATTATGAAGTAGGGCTCAAGTCATGCATTTTATGACTGGCTTGCCTAAGGTTAGACAGCTAGTCCTGGCATTGCAAAGACTATAGCCAAGACCCATTTCACCACTGATGCTAAATGTTACATGTGGTGCTAATACTGTTATCTGACTATTCATCTGACTTTTAAACTGTCCATAAAAGAGAAACACTAAAAAATGTGTATACATGCTGAACAACTTACTGTCAATACACAATCGATTCAATTTACCTGAAGAGACTTCTTATCAGGCCCTTTTTTCCTGGATTGTTTCCTTTTAAAAGCACTACTAGTTAAGTTTGTTTTGATTCCATTACAACAGAACTAGCAATAGCCTTTAAAGGAGGCATACTGCAATGAGAGCTATTCTAGAAAGAGGAGAGGTGACCTACTCTGTGCCTTACTCAATACCATTCTGAGCTGACAAATTAGTTCTGTTATCTTTTATTGAACATAGTTCTAGGAATTAGAACCCAGGGCGCTGCATATGCCAGGGCACTGAGCTACATCCTTAACCATTTTGAGACATGGTATTAAGTTGTCCACACTGGCCTGAAATTTGCAGTCTCACCTCAGTCTCCACAGTAGGTGGTATTATAGGCATGGTCCACCAGAAAATTATCTTTGGTCAGATTTATTAGCACTGCGATTATTCACAGAATCAACCAAAACAAATATTTTCAGTAACCATTTGTTTCATGGTAGAACCTGAGACAGAAACCCTGGATGTGCCCCTCCAAATCCAACACGCTTTCTTTGGGTAAAGCTTTTGATCACCTGCTGGTCACTAGTAAATTAGTCCATGGGTACACTAAATACCAGTCTGTACACACATACATATGTACATGCACTGGAAGATAAACTGGTGATACTGCTGGGGTCAAAGGGAGATTCTCAGCACTTGTTCACTTAGGTGATAAAGGTTAACTAGCGAGCACTGTTACAATGCTTACTTGCAAAAATGCTCAACAGGGTCAAGATTTGAAGTTTCCTGGTGTGAAGGGGCTTATCTGTAGAGGTATTACAGTGCTGAGTTTCCTCCCTGTGCCTAGAATCTCTTATTATTAGCCCGAGGCAGTTTGAAAAACAGGTTTTGAAAAATATCAGTTCAAGTACTTCTGCCAATATGAAGGATCCCTCACCCAAGCTTCCTCTCTTTTTACAAGAGAATGTTCAAAGCCAGTGCATTTTCCTATTGAAAACTCTACCGCTTCGGAAGTAGAAGCAAACTGTGCTTCTTGCGCGGGAACTCCTGAGGCGTACCAGCTCAGCCGGCTGCGCGGCCCGGTCCACCGCGCTCCCCCGCCACCGTGCTTTAGAGTACCCCCAGCGGGAGTAAGGCGCGCTGAAGGACGGCGAACCTTCGCTCTGAACGGCTAAGCACGCAGCCTACCCCGCGCTTCCCACGCGTGCGCGCCATCCACGTGCGCCTCAGCAACCCTGAGGTCCCGTCACCCCAGTGGGGTCGCAGCACTTTCACTGGTCACACTTCCGAAAGTGGACGGAAACCCGGGATGCTCACCCCAAAGGCCACCTCTTTACACAGCACCCCAGAGACCAAAGGCGTGGGAATTAAACGAAGCAAGCGGGCCAGGGCCACGCGTGCCCGTTCCCCGCCCTCGAGACGCGGGGGCTCCTTGAGAGTCTGGGGTCCCGCGGCCCTGCCCGGCGCACTTGCCCTGCAAGCGCCTCTGGAAGGCGGCGGCGTCCAGGCGCTCCAGCGGCCCGAGCCGCACCGAGACGCCCCCATATCTGTCCGGCTCGCCCTGCAGCTCGCCGGCACTGGCGTGGAGGCTGGAGGCGCCCGGAGCCCGGCGAAGCCCCGCCAAGAGGCCTAGGCAGCCGGGTCGAGCCGGCGCCGCGCACCAGAAACCCCCGCTCCGCAGCCTCAGCATAGCCCCTCACGCCGCCTCAGGCGCGCCTGCGTGCAGCGCGCCGAGGTCGCACCGTAAACTTCAGAAGAGACCCTCGCCACATCAGCGTCGAGTTGGGGCGCCCCTTTGCAGAACTTTAGCGAGGGGTTACGGAGTCTGGCCTACGCTTGGCTCCAGGAAGACAGGGAGAAAGGTCCCACCGCTTATTTTGATTGCTATTTTAGGTCAACTGCAGTTTGTTCAGGGACGAGGCAAGCGGGCGGAGGTGCCTGAAGCCCCAGTCTTTCAGAGATTCACGGCCTACATAGAAGTCCTATACACAAAATCCATGTTTCTTTACAGAGGTGAGAATCTCCGTAACCGCTTTCAAGACCCCGGGCTCTAAAGGCTTTTGGATCTGCGCTAATCGCTGCCTTATGCGATCGCGCCCCACTCGGAGGATTACGGCGTAGGCGGAGCCTCGATGACCTCTGACCCGGAAGGTTTCCCCTTCGGACACAGGCGCGCACGCCGTGCCGGCTTAGCTTTTACTGGGTGCACTCGCGGTTCTGTACTGGCTGCTCTCGGGTCATGTCTTCCAGGAAGAGCCGAAAGCGGCTGAACCAAAGCTCGGAAAATGGTTCCCCCTTGCTCTCTGCGGCTTCTCCTCGTGAGGGGGCCCCAAACTTGGCGGCGGCTGGGACTCTGGTGGTGACCAACTTCCTAGAAAAGGGTAGAGTGCTGAGGGACGCTGCCCGAGGGCCGGGGGTGTGGGGGTGGGGTGGGTTCAGCGTGGCGGCGGGGAGGAGACTGAGGTGTTTGAGACCCTGGAAGTGTGTCTCCACCCGGAAAGTTAGGCAGAAATGGACCAGTCAAGGTTTTTTCAAAAGTTGTTAAGAATTGTTAAGTTGCCCTTGAAATGTTCCTTGCCTCAGCTGGGATGAATACCACAGCTACCTGTACCTAATGAACGTAGGATATGTTGACTAAAAAACTGCCGTAAAAATGTGAATCTGTCTTTCTTAAGAAACATTATTAGGCCTGTAAAAATTTTTTTAAAAAAAGTTTCTTCCACTGCACTGTCGCACAATTTCTGTGAATTAATAAAGGCTGTTAATTGTACATTAGTGTTAGGACCACTTCGTAGCTTAGCTCTGTGACAGACATCTTTCGTTTAGTTTTCACAGAAGCTGTGACCTATGGGCACTGTAGTGATAGGTCGTTTTTGTTTACCTGTCTGTGGTCTGTTCACTGGGCTACTCCCCCCCCCCGCCTTTTTTTAAATTTTGAAGGTCTCACCAGGTTGCCCAGGCTACCCTTGAACTTGCTATCCTCCTCACTCAGCCTCCCAAGTAGCAGGGATTACAGGAGAGCACTTCCGCGCCCTAGACTAGTTGTGTCCATTTTACAGATTTAAGAAAGCTGAATAACATGCCTAGTTCACACAGATGCTAACAATCAGAGACCGTATTTGAGTCCTGATATTTGACTTCCACTTCATTCCATGGAAACTATCCTGTCATAGTTAGTGATCATTCCCATACTGGTAAATGCAATAGGTGGTTTTCCATTATTTGCTTTACTTAACCTCAGTAGTGTTTGGCATTGACTACAATTTATTTTCATCATTATTGTTATTGTTATTATTGGGGATTGAACCCAGAGCTAATGCACTGAACTACATCCTCGACAACTTTTATTTTGAGACAGGGTATCCCTAGATCACTAAGTTGGCAAGGCTGGTCTTGAACTTGGGTCCTCCTGCCCCAGGTTCTCAGAATGTTGAGTGCACAGGCATGCACCACCATGCCCTGCTTGTCAGTCATTTCTTCTTTGAAGTGCTTCACTTCCTATTTTATGTCATCAGACTTTCCTAGATGTTTGCCATGCTTGTTGGACTTTCTGTTCCCTTGTTAACCATACCTTTTTCTACTTGACCATTAAACGTTGAAGTTTTTCAATTGTTAATCCTAAATTCTGTTTTCAGCCTAAATTTTCTCTTTGTCAAGTTCATTCGTTGCTGTTTCCCAACTATAAAGTTTCCCCATCTATATAATTTTCATGTTTATTTATTTATATTTGCGGTACCGGGTACATATTGTTCTTGACCTTTGGTGCAGTTGTCTTTTGGACCAGTGATTCTCTAGCGTTCTGTAGTGAAGGTTTTAGAATTTATGGACATAGATCACCATTTCTGCAAAATAAAGTAAAAATGAAATATCAGAAAAATGAATTAAATAAAAATTACTTGATTCCCCATTTATAGAATCATTTTGTCAAAACAGTAAAATCTTATAAAAACTTTTCATTTTTGGTACTTCATCTTATTTGAATCAGTAACGTATATTTTGTAGACCATGTTCCAAATGGTGCTGTTCAGTAACATGTCTCTTGGATTTCTCAAAAATACTTCATTGATTCCATGAGTTTGTATTCCCTCCAATATCCAGGCTCTATTTGATTGGCCATTATACAATTTAGAGTTTAGACATCATCTATTTCACTCCAGTTTCTCAAATTTCATATATGTAGTCAAGTACTGAGTGCTGTTTATCACCTAAATTTTTTTCATGTTCCTCTTTATACCCTTCCTGTTGTTTCCATCTCAGCCTCAAAACACCTACCATCTCACCTGGCTTGATACGTTAGCCTTTTAAACTGATACTCCTGCTTCCAATTTGCTCCCTTTCTTATCTTTTCAACTTTGCAACCAGAATGATATTTTAAAATGATCTATCATGATACTGCCTTTTACTCTCAATGCACTACCATTATTGTCAGGATAATGGCCAGCATTTTGATACAGTTTACTGCCTTAACAGTTTTGACCTTCTTTCCATAGCCACTCTTATTATGTGGTCAGGTCTCACATAGATTCTGCTAGCATTCTCAGTCATTCTTTCATTTATTTTACTATGTAATTATATCGTCATTTAGTGATACTTCTCTGCTCTTGCTAGATTATAAAGTCTGTGAGGCCAGGGATATGTGAACACAATTGTCTATTACGGTGCTTGTCTATAGTAGGCACATAGTACATATTTGCTGAATGAATAAATGAAGAGTGGATAGTTGTTTGAAATTACTATCTTTACAGTTGATCTGACAAAAAAGTGCTCAGTAAATGTGAAGGTAATTAATGGGGAAAAAGTGTGTTGAAATAATATTTTCAAGTACTGGAGGAATGAGAACTGAGAAAAGGAACTTTGTGGATAGTGTATATAGGTTTGGATGATTAAGCAGTAAATTTAATGGTGATGTATTGGGAAAGGTTAGTGCATGGGAGTTTGAAGATGATTTCCATTCATAGGGATGTGTGGAGGTATAATTGGGGAAGGCTGTGATTTTCTAAATCCTTCAGCAAAATAGGTCACAAGTGGAAACACAACTTAATAATCTAGAGCAGTGATGGAGAATCTTTTGTAGTTTTCAGTTATCCAGCAGCCTTCTGTAGCATGACTGCCCTAGGTTTACCACCATTGCTCTAGACCAGTTTCCAGTTGAAGCCTTTGAATACAAGTGGCTGACTCAAAATCTGTGCTACAGAAACACTGCAAGAGATACTTCAAAAGATGTTGGAAAAATGATTAGTTCTTAATGAAATGAGAGGCTTCTTAGTTAACACTCATGTTTTCAGTAGACAGACACCCAAAAGGGTTTGGATTTAAATTTGTTAACACTTAGGACATTCATATGGTTATATGGATAGAAAATTTTCATTTTTTCCAGAAGAAAATATGCCTTACTTTTATTTACAAAATAGTAGAAAATTAACTTTCTTTTCCCTCATAGTAGATGCCAAAGTTCCTAAAACATTTCAGAATTCCCTTGTTCATCTTGGACTCAACACTATGAAGTCTGCAAATATATGTATAGGTCGACCGGTATTGCTTACCAGCTTGAATGGAAAGCAAGAGGTAAGAGTCCTTTTTATTTTCTTAGTTAAGAAATATCTGAGGTGATTTGCTCATTACAAGGAGGATTAAATGAAATACACATTTAAAGATATTCACATGTACAGTGACTCTTCCAACTTTTTGATACCTACAGCTACACTGAGAATAGTAACCCCTACAATCTCTAGTAGAGAGATCTTTTCTCTAGGGAATGACACATACCTTTTGGGCTCTCTTTTTCTCAGTCCACTATGTTTCTGTACAGAATGTTATTCAGGAGTGAGAAGGGAACTGGTTCTTTGTATGAGTTATTTCATTATTCTATTTTTAGCTGTATTTCCCCTAATTGCCATTTATTCTGAGTCTCCATGTTCTGTAGCTTGATCTTCTCCTGTGCTATGAGCTTCTGTCTCATGGCTTCTTTTGATTCTTTCATCCACAGGGCATCTTTTCGAAGTGTTTTTAAAATTGCCTGTTTGCTTATGACAGCTTTCCCATTCTTTTTATTGAACCAATATTATATACTTTGTTTTGTGGAAGAGAGGATGGTAAATGTGTGAGCTTAAGCCAGAAATTTTGTTCCTTTTCTCTAAATATTTAAATCTGATGAGATTCAGTTTCTGACAAAGCTGTTCTGCTTTGTCCGTCACCATTTCTGTGATATAGTTTAAGTTCCATGCTGCATTAATTTATACATTATCTTGCCTTCAAAAAAAAAATATATATATAAACACACACATATATATTTTTCTTCTTATGATCTATTAATGTCTTTGTCTTTTTGTTCTAAATACCTTTTGAATCTTTTGCTGTCTTCACTGTGAGTATATTTCCTGATTTTCACCAAAATATATAATACTCACTGAAACTATTTTTTGTGAGCCTATAAGGACTATAGTACGATAAGTACTATAGTACTTTTTTTTTCCCCCCAAATGTGATTTATCTTACTGCAGTTTGTGTCAGATTGTGGCTGATTTGGGGTATGAAATATACTAAAAGATAGAATATTCTCTTTTTTCTTTTTTTTTTTTCCAGTGTGTTCCTTTTTATTCATTTTCAGAGTACAAACTTAAACTTGGATAGGCTGAATTAACCCAGCCCACCTCTGGCAGGTACATTCAACATGATGTATAAAGTATAACATTCAATTTATTATTTCTTTCTCAAGAGAGTTTTCTTCAGTCCATTAAGACCCAGCTCCCCTTACATGGGCTTTGGTGGAGGTCGTGGGGCAGCACCAGCAGGTCTAAATCGGGGTGGAGGAGTTCAGTCCTTACGGGCTTCATGAGATCGATTTTTGACCACTTTGCTGTGAATGGCACAACTCACACAATAATGCAACTTTACATACAGCCTGGGAAGCACATAACCATCAAAGATACTCGCTTCGGAAATGTCCTTGGCGGCGGCTTCCACTATGTTCCAAATGACAGACTTCTTAATAGCCTTATCTTTGGGTATGCATCGGGCGCAGTTCGTGCAGTGAATAGGCTGCACATGACCGCGGCCCTTTTTGGTGCGAACATTGTTCCTTCTTTTTTTCGTCATCTTGAAAAGGAGGACCTGAAAGAGCAAGATAGAGTATTTTCTAATATTTTTATTTCCCCTGTCTTGGCAGGTATATACAGCCTGGCCAGTGGCAGGATTTCCTGGAGGCAAGGTTGGCCTGAGTGAGATGGCACAGAAGAATGTTGGTGTGAGGGCTGGTGACACCATCCACGTGCAGCCTCTTTTAGGTGCTGTGCTGCAGGCTCAGGAAATGGACTTGGCACTGAGGTTAGGCTCTTTTCTTTAGTGACTCTGGTCAGTGCTACCCAGTACAAATACAAAGAGAGTCATAAACGTTAGCACATAAGTAGTTTTGCATTTTCTAATAGCTACTTTAAATAGTAACCAGGTTAAGTAAATTATAATAGTATATTTTATATATTCAATATATGTGATATCTTACTTTAACTTACAAAATCTTTACACTAAGATATTTCTCATTCTGCTGAAACGTAAGTTTTCAAAATCTAGTGTTTGTGTTACAGTTGTAGCATATCTCAGTCATATTTTAAGTGCTTGGTAGTCACATGTGAGTAGCTGTTGGCTTACTGTTTGAGACAGTACAAACTAGGTGAGCACTGCATATATGGACTCTCAGGTCCTGTACTTGGAGTATATCTTGGCATATTAGGTGAGAATTATTGTTGATTGTATACTTTGCAGTGATCCTCATTTCGGCTTGCAGTATAATCAAGGCTTTTTATCTTATTAAAAAAGGAGGGACTGGGGATATAGCTTAGTGGTATAAGCCTCTGCCTGGCAAAGGTCCTGAGTTTGATTTCTGGTACACTCCCCCCCAAAAAAAGTCCCCCCAAAAATGAACAAAAAAGAGTAATCTTACTATGAATGGACAAGAAATTAAGACTGTTAAACAGGCTAGTTGTGGGGCTTGGTGAGATAACTCAGCAGACTAAAGTGCCTGCTTAGGCAAGCGCAGGGACCGTGGTTCAGTGCCTGACAGAGTCTGGGCATAGTGGTGCATGCCTGTAATTCCAGCGCTGGGGAGGCTGAAGCAGGACTCATGGTGATGAGTCTGAGCTGCATAGTGAGACCCTGTAACAACCAGATACATTAAAAAGAAAAAAGAAGTTAGTTGTATATTTCAGCTCATTATTTATGCATCTTAATAAAGTTTTATTATTTTCAGAGTTTTTAATAGTCCTTCACCAAAGACTGCTTGTTTGAACTTAGCAGTAAGGAGTATCATCCACTTTTAGATGTTCCTTAATAGAATTTTGACTTAGTTTCCAAGTGTAAGTCTATAAGTGTATAAATCAAAATTTGCTTTATACTACTACCTTTTGAATACTTTAATGTCACTTTAATAATTTGGAAATGTGTTCAAGTTACATGCAAGAATCACAAAAGTTTTTGATTCTTAGCTTCAGGATATATTTTGGGGTTACCAGGGATCGAACTTGGGTCCTTGTGCTTGCCAGCCAGGCACTTACACCACTGAACTATATCCCTGGTCCCAAGCTTGAAATTTAAAATATTTTCTCTTTCTCTGTTTTTAGATTCTAAGCTTGAATTTAAATGTATGTATTTCTTTTAAAAACAAAATGTTTATCTTATTCTCATCACTGAAACACAATGCCCATCACTCAGAAGCTAAAGGAGGAGAGATTTATTTTGATTTTACTGTATTTTATGGTTGAATTGTTTGTTTGGGGAGGTTTATTTTTTGTTTTTTGGTGCCAAAAACCAAACCAAGTGCTTCCAGCTTGGTAGGCAAGCATTCTACCACTGAGCCAAACCCCCAGGCCTGAGAGGATTGTTTTGGCTCACTGTTTCTGGAGATTTTTAGACTGTTCTCAGCTAGCTCTAAGGCAGGACAACATGGCAGAAAGGCACAGTGGAAGGCTGGGTGTAAGAAAACTGTTTACCACATGAAGATGAGAAGGAACTAGAGAGGTCAAGGGAGGGGCTGGGAAGAGAGACATGCCCTTCCTACTTACAGTCACAGTGATCTGCCTCTTCCTATCAGGCCTTACCTCCTAACACTATTTCAGTTACACTGCCCCCGCAATCTAATAGTCTTACAAAAAACCCACCTTTGGGCTCATGAACCTCTGGGGAGATCTGTACGTATAAACTATAACAACATTTAATGAAGATTAAAAAGAAGAAAAGAGAGGGCATCTTGTATATATTACATACATAGATGCACATATGCATTTGTGAGTGAGCACAGCCATAAAATTGACTCATTGTCTTCTCCCATTTAATTCCTTAATACCCTGGAAGGTATCCATATTTCTCCCATTTTTCATAAATGAGGAAATGAGTTCAGTTGGGTCCATTGAGGGGAATTAATTAACCTCATATTTTAGTATGTGAATAATGTTGCTTATTAAGAGATTCTATATATTTTATAGTTTGTTTTTGTTTTTTTGTGGTACTGGGGAATGAACTCAGGACCTTGTGCTTGCCAGGCAAGTGCTTATGCCGCTGAGCTATATCCCCAGCCTGAGATTCCATATATTTTAAATGAGATCTTTTTAAAATTATATTTTTAAAACGTGTTACATTTTAAATGTGAAAGCAGAGTAGGCAAAGTTAATTTCATATTAGGAAAATTAGTAATTTCATTCTTTAGCAACTGAGAAATTTTATGTTGGAGCTCCTTCTAGTGGAGATGACTTTTTATGTACTTATTCTTTTATTAAATGCGACACTGGTTGAGTCACTGTTTTCATATATATCCCAGTTTAATCTGTTACAGCCTCTTAGGCTATATCCTTTAATTTCCATCTATTAGTTTAATTTTCTGTAACAGAAGGGAACTGGGATGAAGTCTTCAAAGTACTTAGAATTGCTTTATCTTTGTAATAGCTTAAATAAATCAAAATTTTTTTTAAAGAAGTTATCTTGAACACTTGGCAAATATTGAACCATTATCCCCGGGGTAAAAATATGCACATGGATATATATATGTGTGTGTATATGTATTCTATGCAGATTGTAATCAAAAATCCTTAAAACACCTGTTTTGGTTGGGTATGGTGATGCATGTGTTTTAGTCTCAGTTATCAGGAAGCAGAGGCAGGAGGATTGCAGATTCTAGGCCAGCCTGGACAGTTTGGTAAGAACCTCTCTCAAAATAAGACTTTTTGAAAAAAGTTCTCAAACTGTAGCTGAGTCATGGAGTCTTTTGCTTAGTGTGTGTGTGACTGGATTAAATCCCCTGTGCTTAGTGTGTACGACTGGATTAAATCCCTTAAAACAAAACAGAACAAAACAAAGAAAAACCCCAACTGAACAAAAAGCACTCATTCTGGTAAGGCTATTTTATGTTATAGAAGAGAAGAGAAAGATCAGAAATAGAAAGGGACTTGGCTTAGTCTCCACCAGTACAGATGATCAGATTCATATCCCTCCAACTTGCTTGAGAGTTTCTTGGAGTGTTCCACACTGTCTCCTTCTGTCTCTGTGCTAGTCATCCTTGAATGAGAACTGAAAAAAGAAGCTAGTGTCATCTTTCTCTACCTCACCTGACAGCAATCAGTGTTGCATGACCCAAATTTTATGCTACTGTAACATATCCAATAGTCATATCCAAGTCATTGTAAATACTCTGTAAGTATTGATTTTTGGAGTACAAATAAATTTAATGAGTAGGTAAATTTGCAGTGTAGCATCCATAGATCATGAGGATCATCTGAATTTGTTTTAATATTGATAAAATGATTAGAGAACAAGGTATAGATTTTGAGCAGGCATGCTTGCTAATAAACCTGCCCCCTCCTTACCTTTTTATGTGTATTGTACTCTGACATCTCTTATTCTAATAGAAAAGTGCTGAATGTGACTGAAATGACATTATGATCCAGTAAAGGTAATGATTTTTATTACCCTAAGATTTAGGTCACTAAAGTATCAAATTGCCAGTGATACATTTCTGACTTTAAGAAGTATATGATAAGTGCAGGTCATTCTGAAATTGTGTAAATCAACTATTTGCAGGTTGCAAACATTTTTGAGTAAGTCTGTATTATAACTATGTGTAGTTGTACCTTGGTTTATGAACTTAATTCCACAGTTCTGTTCACAAACTGAATTGGGCAAGAACTGAATCAAGTTGAGTGGTTAGGTTCAGTGTTGATCTATTGAGGAAATTAGATTTGGTTCTCATCTAATTTTATGTAACAGTTTAGTTTCTTTTTTTTCCCAACATTTTAATTTCTTATGTACTTAATTCCAATGTTTTCCCTTTTTCTCTTTGTGTAGTGACAAAGATCGGGAAATTAATGAAGAAGAACTGACTTGTTGTATTCTGAGAAAACTAGGTAAGTCATGTTGTAAGTTCTTAAACTTCAAGCAGAAATGTAGCACCAAATAAAATATCTTTGAGGTCTTATAACCATAATTTCCTTCAAAACAGTCAAAAAATAATACTTCTCTTCATGAATTAATACTTTGGAGGCAGCTGCCAATAAAGCATTGAGTGGTGGAAAGAGTATTTGGTTGTCTGTGGTCAAAGTGAGTAATACAACTTTTTTTTTTTTTTTGGCGGAACCGGGGATTGAACTCAAGCCCTTGCGCTTGCCAGGGAGGCACTTAATTCCACTGAGCCATCTCCCCACCCCAGTAATAGAACTTTTTTAACCATTGCACTTTACTGTTTCCAGTGAGGAACATTATGTTGGTATAATGGTTTAGGTGTGCTATTTTAGTTTAGCTTCTTAGCAAAAGTAGACTTCTGGCTTATTTGTTAATATGGTTGATAGGCTGTTAAGATCTATTGAGTGTACAGAATTTGAAAGATTAACTTTTAGGTCTCCACTGAGCTATATCATAGGGAAATAATGGGTGCTATATTTTTCATGACAGTTAATCACTATTGCAGTTTTGATTTAATGTCCTTCAGTCAGGAAGAGATTGAATAGCAAGGAAGTTGCTATTAAAATATGAAACTGAGGCCCAGCCAAATAGCTCAGTGGATTAAAGCACCTGCAAGCGGGTGCAAGGGCTGGGGGTTCGATCCCTGGGCCTGCCATGCCGGC